CGTCAATCACAACTCCAAGGTTTCTAGCTGTTTTTGAAGGAGTTAAGTTTGATCACTTCACATACAAGTCGTGAACATGTACCTCAAGAGGTAATGCACATGTCTTTCTTTAATCGCCAGGACACAAGACGTTCCTCTTCAGTGATTTTGAATGAAATTGCTGGACCAACGGTACGTCCCAAAACCATTGTATCTGAGCAGCACCTCAGACGATTGATTGAAATTGGTCTGACTGTACCTTGCATTTCAAAACTGCTTGGCATGTCAACACAAACCATAGAACGCAGAATGCAAGAGTTTGGCAAATCAGTGAAAGGAACATACAGTCAATTGACTGACGAAGAGTTAGACAATCTTGTGGTTGCAATCAAAACAACATCACCACACTCAGGCTACAGAATGATGAGAGGACACTTGAAAGCTCTTGGTCATCGAGTCCAGTGGAGCAGAGTCTGCGACTCTATGAATAGAGTTGATTCAGCCGGAGTCCTTGCTAGAATGTCACAACTTGGACATGTTGTGAGAAGATCATATTCAGTCCAGGCCCTTCTGTCCGTCATGCATTTGGACACCAACCACAAGCTGATCACGTAGGTTAAATTTTTTTTGTAGAAGTCACTTGTACAGCAAAATATCTTATCTGTTATTAAAGGTGCCTGTGTGCATAAGATGTTTTCCCTTTTGTATTCAGATATGACTTAGTAATATTTGGGGGCATAGATGGCTACTCAAAAAGGTTAGTGGTGGATCTTTATTTGTGTGACTCCTGTGTGTGTGATACAATCATGGAATAATTGTGTAAGATGCCAATAACTTCACTAAATAATTTTATCAGGACATGTATCTGGGGGCTGCAACCAACAACAAAGCAGAGACTGCTCTAGGTTTCTTCCTCGAGGCAGTAGAAAAGCATGGAGTTCCTTCACGGTATGTATGTACATTTGAGTACATCCTATCTATCTATCTATCTATACAGACTGACTGACTGCATGGTCTTAAAACCCTCACCAAGCTATTAAAACAGCTTCAAACTTCAAGATATTTCATTTCATTAACATTCTGGCCAGGCTTTCTCAAGCCAACATCATAGGATGTTTTGTCAAACCTTACTATGTAGTGTTAATGTTAAATGTACTGTTTTAATGTGTAGGGTAAGAACAGACCAAGTTGTAGAAAATGTGGTCATTGCAAGGTGGATGTTCACTGATAATCAAAGGTAATTTCTTGTTACTTTAGTGTAGGTAATAAATTTGTTCAAGTTTTTGAATTATAAATGACTAAGAAATAAGGTTGTTTTGTCTCTTACATTTAGGGTCGAACGGCTGTGGAAAGATGTGTGGATGTCTGTTTCAAACTTGTATTATGATGTTCTACATAATTTGGAAGAGAGTGGCTCTCTTGACCCATCAAACACCATTCATCTCTTCTGTGCACATTATGTTTTTCTTCCACATCTCCAAAGAGACCTAGATATTTTCACTGATGCATGGAATGACCATTCCATCCGTACAGAGCAAAATCTTTCCCCCAATCAGCTGTGGGAAATAGGACTTGTACAGAATCCAGTCAATGTTTCATGTGACATGGAGGTATGATTGTAATTAATTTTAAAAAAGCACAGTACAATATATGTTTTGTCTATACTGTTCAATTATTATTATTTTCATTTTGTTTTTTAATCCAGGACCTCAACATTTTGGTGCAAGATGGCACTTACCCACTGGAGGAGCAGAACACTGGAGTAGTGGTCCCTCAGGTGGAGAGTCTGCTCTCGGAGTATGAAATAGCTCGACTCAGGACAACCATTAATCCAGTCTCACAGTCCAGAGACTTTGGCCAAGATATTTACTTATCAGTGTTACATTTTGTGCAGCTGCTTCTTGAATAACATTCTTTAAAGTTTATGGTGTCATTTAACTATTGTGAAGTTGATCAGTGCTTACCACACCACACAGAGCTTAATGTGGTAAATGCAGGACTAAACACCTTTGGCATGAAAATTAAATAAAAGCAATGACTTAAGTTTTTTATTATTATTGTAATTAACATTGTCAAATACAGTGGCAAACCTCTACACCAAGGTTCTCTTGGAAAACGTAACTTATAAATGAAATGCAACATCAGTACCTTAAAACAGATATAAAATCAGCTAAGGAGAGCTCTACAACAGAGCGGCTTGATTTGAACAATTTGAACTGCAAATGCAAGTTACGTATCTTAAATCAGATACAAACTACAGAAACAGCACTCTAACAGAGGCTCACTTTTAAAACATTTCAGAATAGAAAATGCAACTTAAGTATCTTAATGTAGATATAGAAGTACTGCTGACCTCCAACAGGTTGAGATAGGAAATATGTTAACAAACTGTAACACTAAAAGCTATGGTTTAAGAGATTAACTCAAATCTAGCACTATATTGTGGATGATATTACCAGTATATCACAGGGTGATATTTAAACCCTGCTGTGGCCAGGGATGTGTGGTTCAGCGAGGTCTGCAGCGGGAGAGAGAGTTGGGAGACGAGCGGTGAGTAAGTGGGTCAAATGCAAAT